GGGTTACATCATCTCGGAGCTGGAGAGAATGTTTTTCACCATGCGTTGAGCAAAAACGACTCCGAAACCTGGTGCCCACGGGCACAGATCAGAAATCGGGGTGTGGAGGGAGGTGAAAAATGATGCTGCTGGAAGGCAAGATCCCAGCAGGGCTGGGGCAGGGCTGCTGCCAACCCTCGTGCCCTGTCGGTACCTTTCCAACCCACTTTATTTTATTTCAGCTTGAAAGAGGGACAAGAGTGACCCACTAAAACCAGCAAGCCGAGGGGACGGTGCCAGCGGGCTGCACAGCCACGTCCCCAAGCCCAGGCGCTCACCCAGGTATTGTTTAATTTATTAGGGACGTAGCCTCCGTTCCTGCCTGTTCGCTCCTTTTTCCAGATCACCGGTGAGCGGCACGGCCAGTTCTCCTCGGGAGCCCACAGGTCACTCCCTGCATTGTCAAAATTCACTGTGGAGTCCTGCTCTCTGCTCCCTTGCTGCCCTTTCACAGCTCCTCGTGGGTGGCACTGAGCTCTCCTGGGCTGGGGCATGATCCTCCACCCCTCTGAAGTGCTGGAGAAGGTTTCCTTAAAAAATGTAACAAACAAAAAAGTGTCATAGGAGGAAAATGAGCAGAAATCTTCCATTCCAGGGTAGGCGAGAGCGCAGGATGATCTGGCCAAGTGTGGTGGGATGGAGACGTCCCCCATTCCTGACCTTCTGTGAGTGGCTGAAGCCCAAACGTTTGTGATGAGCATCCCCCAAGGCTGGGCAGATCCTAAGGTCTAGCTCAGGATAACACGTCTCATCTGAAAAGAGCTTCATGGGAAATGCTGAAGAAGTAGCAGAGGGTCTGGTTGGGTGTCCTCAAGCATCTGGGACACAGGGAGGAAACATCAGCTGGTTCCCCCGAGCAGCTGGTTCATCATCCCTCTGCCATGCTTTTCCCAGCTGCAGTTTCTCATGCAGCTTCACACCCTGGGTTTGGACTGGTCCCAGGACCACGTTGCTCCATGGAGAGCAAGGACCTCAGCTTTGTGGGACCTCTGCTCCCCGTGGGCTGATGTGAAGATAGACCAGAGCAGGGAGCGGCCATGTCACCCGCCCAGGCACACGTGCACTGCTCCATGGTTACATCGCCGAATATCAGGGCTCAGCATCGCTCCATGGGTACGCCGCTGAGTATCAGGACTCAGCATCGTGGTGGCGACAGCTGGAGCCAGTTTTACCAAACCAGCAGGTTCCCATGCCGCGTCCAACGCGGTCGGTGGCAGCACTGCACCTTTGGACCTGAAGTCACCACGGGATATTTGCAGATGGATATCACCCTTCCCAGCCCTGAATACTACCTTGGCGAGACCCTGGCAGGAGCTTCCAAACTTTCCCCATGCCCTGGTGATGCCTGGGGCTGTGGAAGGAGCCTCCCGCCACCATGGTCACATTCCTCCAGGCGCTTGCTGTGTGCCATATCGGCCATCTCCAGCACCTCAGAGCCTCCCATTTCACTCCCACTGGCTCCCATCTGCGATGCCACAGCAGCATCAGTCCTGCACATCCCCCCTGCTCCCGTAACCCGGGCACCGGATGGGCACGCAGCGTCTGCAACAAGGCGTCTACTTTTGTGGCCTTGAGCAGCATCTCCCTCTGGTGGCTAAGGAACAAGGAGCTATGGGGGGAGTGACTTCTTGGGTCTGGCAGCCTTGGGAAAAATCTGGATATGCAGCAGGTCATTGGGGTTCCCCCCACCCCGCAGAGGTGGGAATAGTGGGGAGGGGTATCTGGAGCGGTGATTTGCAGCTGGACAGTCCTCCTGCTCCAGGCAGGGCTTTAGACTAAACTAAACATGTACCCAGCACGCAGGACTTGGACTCTGGGTGTAACAGGGCTCTCACGCAGGCTGGAAGTCTTTAGGGACAGATAATTGTATTGAAAAAAAACAACTTAGCAGTTTTTTGCAGCCAGAGAGAGGAGTGCGAAGATGTACGAAACTCTGCAGACACCAAGGTCAGTGCAGAAGGAGGGGCAGGAGGTGCTCCAGGCGCTGGAGCAGAGATCCCCCTGCAGCCCGTGGTGAAGACCATGGTGAAGCAGGCTGTCCCCCTGCAGCCCATGGAGGGAGGATGAGGGGGTGTAGAGATTCCACCTGCAGCCCGTGGAGGACCCCACGCCGGAGCAGGTGGAGACACCTGAAGGAGGCTGTGGCCCCGTGGGAAGCCCGCGCTGGAGCAAGCTCCTGGCAGGACCTGTGGATCCATGGAGAGAGGAGCCCACGCCAGAGCAGGTTTGCTGGCAGGACTTGTGACCCCGTGGGGGACCCACGCTGGAGCAGTGTGCTCCTGAAGGTCTGCACCCCATGGGGGGGACCGACGCTGGAGCAGTTCGTGAAGAACTGCAGCCCGTGGGAAGGACTCACGTTGGAGAAGTTGGGTGGGGACTGTCTGCTGTGGGAGGGACCCCAGGCTGGAGCAGGGGAGGAGTGTGAGGAGTTGCAGGAGCAACGTGGAGAAGGGAGAAAGGAGGGGATGTGGAGTCCTGTGCTGGAGAAAGAGAAAACCCTGCTCAATTAAACAAACAGCTTGATTGGGAGTGGGTAGAACCGGAATGGGTAGAAAATCTAAGAAAACAGGAAAATGGAGTTGCAAAGGAGAGAGGAGGAGGCGAGGTCACATCCAGCCAGGAAGCTGCACAGCGGTTTGCTTGGAAAGCAGCAGGAGATCAAGGTCCAATATCCCCTACAGCAAGGTCCAGAGAGGACCTCTCCACACTTATGTGCACCCCCAACACGAGACGCACACACAGCAAAGCCCGATTTGTTTTTTAGAGCATCATTTTATATTACCAAAGGTAGAAAAACAAACTAAATAAAAATTTCCATAAAGCCACGGCAGCTCTGCTGCCTTCAGTGTGATGCACACAGCGAGGAGGACTCCGGAAAAGCTGCTGCAACTGCTTCCTCCCTGCAGAGCGCAGCCCCAGCACGGCAGTGCTGGCTCCGAACGGAGACACGGAGCTTTCACCACGCTGGAAAGTGGCTTCACTCCAAAATCGGCACCAACTGGGTTTTCACTGCCCGGATCAGCTTGAAGAATCATCTGGCTGGGTCAATCCTGAGCAGCTAATGCTACATGGAAGCTTTTTTAAATAATTCATCGCATGCATGTCCTTCCTGCCGCCTTTCCAGTGTCATGGCAACACCAGAGATGTGCCCGCAGCAGGACAACGGCCGGGGGACATGGCCAGATGTGCACCAGCTGGCATCCACGAGCTCACTGGTGAACCAGCTGAGCAGACCTCGATGAGTATGTCAAGCCACGTCCGGGGCACAAACTTGTGTCCAGCCAACGTCGCTGGGAGCAGGAGCTATTTCTGAGGCCGCTGTATTGAGGTTTTTAGTTCCTGATAAAAATAAATCCTGCCTGAAATGGGGATTTTATGGTGGAAAGGGTATGCAGATCTGTTTTGGCTTGAAGCGAAATTTGTGGAGAGAACATCCAGGCAGATCTGGATTATCTGCAGCTGGTTGGAAGGGGGCAAGGAAGAGGCTGGGCAGAAAAGGCCACTGGAAGAAGCGGGACAGTGGACAAGCAAGCAGGATGTGCTTTTGGCTACGGTTCAAGGTCCCGAGGTTGTGGTTTGCCATATGAAAAGGGTCTGGGTTCCTATATGGCCCCACCAAATGGAGTTGGTAAAGCTCTAAAGATGAACCTGGTGGAGGAAAAACACGTCAAACACCACTGAGCCTTACTTTAGGGCTTATTCTGCCCAGAAGGAAGGGCATCGGAGAGTAAACCTCATTATTTTTCTGGTTTAGGCACTTATTTGTCTGCTTTGGCCATCATTACAGCCCCTGGAGACAGCAGCCAGATCTCCATGCTGTGACAGGCCAGCAGCTCGTATAGGCACTCGTTAAAGGATACGCTTCAAAGACATCGTCAGAAATAAATCAAAGGCAGCGTGCTCCAGCTGCCTAGCAGGACTGTTACATAAATAAGTTCACTAAATACCTAAACTTGGACTTTTAAGGCTTTCCAAGACCTCTGAAGCTCTCCAAAACTGTAAACAGAAGATGCACCGGGAAGGAAGGAGATGTCCTAGCGATGCAGGACCACATCTGCCCGGCAGCAGGGGCACCATGGGGACAGTCTGTATGGCCAGCATTAACATCCCACCACCTCCTGCCGTATCATACAAACGAGGCAGTTGCCCCAGTGCTGACCCAAGGTGATGCTGCAGCAATTTCAGGGTCACTCCAGCAACCCAGACAGGTCTGTCCCCTCTCCCAGCTCCCCCAGTCCTCGCTGTGGGCATCTAGGGTCAGCCTTGGGGGTGGAGGTGAAGCACGGTGGCCTCAGCTTGCTCCTCATGACAGTCCCTTTTGTGTCACAAGCATGGGTGTCCTGAAGGTGATGCCACCCCACGAGGGCACCCTCCAGCCCTACGGGTTCCGAGTCCTCTTTGGGGGGACCCACCGCCCCACAGCCACCTGTGCCACCAAGGGAAGAGCTGCTCCACAGATGCTCGTGGGCACAAGCGCCCAGGATTGGGCTGATGCTCGCCATCCCAATGGATAAATCCCATCCTCCTCCTCCTCCTCCTTCTCCCAGGCAGCCTGGAGGAGGCTGGCCTTCGCCGTCCCTTTGCACCAGGGCCATGGACGTAGCTGTGGTTGTCACCATGCCAGGAGAGGTGATGCCTCCTGCGCTCGCGCTGAAATACACAGAGGAGCCCTTGGCTGGATCCGGGGAGAAACTGCTGGGAAAGGATACGGCTGGGTGAAAATCAGGCTCCTGCCCTGCTCCGTCCTCCCGTCCCGTTCTCACAGCGCCGGTGCTGGGTTTGCCGCCTCCTCCGTTCCCCGCCGCCTGCAATTTCTCATCAGTCAGACCAGATTCAGCACCCCGAGGACCCATTTCCCTCGTGGGGAGGGAAGGGCTTGCTCCAGGCTCAACACCGGCGGGTTTCCCCATCACCCATCCTCCAGGGTAAACTTCTCCCATGCCACCATCTCCAAAAGCAGCATTGATCGTGGACATATCTCCTGTCTTCAAGGCCAGCTTTACCAGCAGCCAGTGGTGATGGTTTGTCCAGCCATCCTCCAAACACCCTCCGAATTGCGGGAGCGGTGAGCTGTTCCCGTTTTTGGGATCTGCCGTGGTCCCTTCCCTGGCCAAGGCCTCTCCATCTCCTGAAATCCCCAAGCTCTGCCCAGCTTGGGAGCTGTCTCCATCAACCTCATCATCACCGGTAGCCGCAGCACTGCAGGTTGTCTCCAGGAAGCCCTGCCAGATCTCTGTGCATTTGGGATGGAGCAGGCTGTAATAAACCACCAGAGCTGCGGCACCTGAAAAAGAGCGGAAAAGCGTCAAGGGACAAGTCCCAGCAGCGTTTTGGTGAGGTGTAGAGGAGAAACCAGACCTCGCTGCCACCTCCAGGTCAACAGGCCCTTTGCAGAGATGCTGCTGGGCATCAGGTGTCTTTCAAGCATTTTTAGGGATGCAAGAATCCCACTCGAGCAGCTTTCGGGAAAGGGAGTGCTGAGCACACTCTCAAGACCGATTTAATCTGGATTGATTTGCAGACTGATCGGTGCACAACGAGCAGCCGCTGAGCACCAGCAGACAGGGAGGAGGCGTGTGATGCAGGAATCCTTCCCACCTCACAGCATCCCTGTCCTCTAGCCATTAAATGGACCAAAAAATACCCCCAAAAAACCTAGCAGGTTTCTAAGACACCTTCCTACATCTATCCTACACTCGTTCAAGGCCTATCCTACACTCGTTCTTGAACACGGCGTGGTCCGGGGAGATGCACAAAGCCCAGCACACGGGTGTTACAGCTTCCCTCTGCCTCCGTCCCGCTGGGAAAACACGAGCCTGGTGGGGACCTCACCCAGCAAAGAGCAACTCCCATCCTTGCCCGGTGCCAGTTTTGCAAACAGAGGTGCCGATGGGTTGTTTGCATCATACAACCTCTCCCCTCCTTCAGTCGAGTTGTGCATTAAAGCTTTAGGGAATTAAATGCGCCAGCTGGCCATAGCTGCTGCCTGCTTTATGGGCAAGGTACGGAGTAAGGCGGGGTATGGGCGAGGCATGCAGTACCTTCTCACATACCAAAAAACCCTCCCTATGAACACCAAAAGCTTTTCCATTTATAGAAGCAGTGCTAGTCTTTGACAGAAAACAGGGTGGGACCGTAGTTCTGCACGGTCCCACCCCAGCGTATTCCCGGCACATACCCAGTGATGGCTGATCCATCACGAGCCACCTTCAGAAATCATCAGTAGATGCTCAAATGAAAACGTTTCCTTGCAGTGACCCCCTGCGTTCTACCACTGCCTGCACTGATCACCAAGCACCGAGATCGCAGAAAGCACAAACAGATGTGCTTCAAAATTGCATATATTGTATTTGGCAGCGGTACCCGAGCCGTTGGGTGACAGCTCGATCATTTCTGCAAGCCTCCCTCTTCAGGGATGGGCTTTTAAGAAGTGATGAAGAAACAAAACTCAGGGTGGATTTAGGTATTATCAAATGTGTTCAAATGCTTAAGCTGGAAGAAAGAAAGCAAATAGTCTGATGGAACTGAAATAACTCATGATGCTTATTTACTCTTGAAACACGCAATCCAGGCTCCAAAAACCAGCAGATCTTACCTATTACAGACCCTGACATGATGGCCCCGGTCACGCACAGGCTGTTCCTCAGCTCTGCCTGCAGGAACCGGGTGGCCAGCAGCAGCAGGAGGGTGTTTTCCATCACCATTATCTGCAGAACAGGGGGAAAAGAGTTGTCACTTTTATGCTTCTGCTGGCTTTAGACATGCTTCTGATGACAGAAAACACCCAGTTTCTAGATTTTGCTGATTTATTTTGCACCTAACTTATCACTTAAAACGTAAGGGTGGCTGAACTGAACTTCCTGCAAGGTCTCGACCTTTTTTTACCATGAAAAATAACTCTGGCAGAGCAGCACAGCTCTGGTGTTATTAAGACGTTGCACGGCTGTTGCTAAGAAAAAAGTGCAGAAGGTGCATCCACCTTGGTGACCACGTCAGGACATGGGAAATCACAGAATCACAGACTGGTTTGGGTTGGATGCGACCTCAAAGCCCATCTCATTCCAACCCCCCTGCCATGGGCAGGGACACCCTCCGCTAGCCCAGGTTGCCCAAATGCTGGATTTTTATCAAGTGGTGATGTGAGAGATGAGAAAGGAGAGTCTGGAGCTATTGCTTCTCCCCAGCAACTGCATCCATGTGGAATACCGAACATCCTGGCTACTTACGGCATAAAACACGGCCACCCTGTGCTTGGAGGGACCGGGCCGGACATTAATGTAGCAGAAGATGTACACGGCTCCCACCAGGCAATTGAAGAGCCTCCAGCGGCAGGGCTTGGCCACGATGTCCGTCTGCTGGGCCACCAGCCAGAAGGACATGAACAGCCAGTGGACACCTGCCAGGGGAAGAGACCGAAAGGGCAAAGCCGTTCCTGGGGGAGGCTGCAAAGCGCTCCAGTACCAGGAGCATCTCCGTGGCTGACAGCAGGATGGGACATGGAGAAGATGATCACAGCTCTTACCTGCCACAGCAAAAACCCAGAAGGAGTAGAGCCTGGCAAAGAGTACCAGGGCCAGGACCCTGGTCCCCAGCATCCCCGTCCTCCAGAGCAGCAGGCAGAGGATGGCCGCGGCCGGCGGGCAGAGGTGTCCGGGTTTCAGCAGGCAGGCGAAGTGGCTGTAGGAGACCAAAGCCCAGGCAAGGGAGAGCAGGGACAGCCCTGCGCTGACACCTGCACGGGGACAGGGGCGGGCAGGCGCTCTGAAGGGTGCCCAACTGCATTGTAGGACCATAGCTCAATGCTAAGGAGCTGCTGGTAGCATGGCACACTGATACAAGCCAGACACCCTGCTGTCCTGCCAACTGGAGTATTTCAACCAGTTCCTGCTCAATCTGGTCTCCTCTGCATGCTTGGCATCTCCCTGCTTAAATCCTCTGACCGCTCTCTCCCACGGGCAGAGCTCTGCAGAGGCAGGGCAAGGTCCATCTCTGGTCACTGTGATCAGACCAGAGACTGACACTGACTTGAGTGTGACCTCGTGCATGCTGTGACTCCACACCCCAAGCTCTCTGCACACCAAAAAACCCTGGAAGCAGCCCCCAAACCCTAAATGCTCAGCATTGCACTGTGATTAGGGCTGGACCATCAAGAGGAGCACGTGTTGGGTGCAAACCCAGCCAAGGCACTGTCTTGCCATGGAGGTCCCCTTTACAGGGGACCGACTGTACCAGCCAGGAGAAGCCATGGGTAGCTCAGAGACTCCTCACGGCAGATCCTGAAGCCACATTTGTCCTTGCTGCTTTGCACTGGGACTTCCCAGCCCCTTTGCAGCATGCTCCTCCATCCAGAGCTTGCTCTGTGCCCGGCCAGGTGGGCACACACATCCCCCACCCAAATGCATCCGCCCCTCTCCAACTCATATCCTCCTCCTGGGAACTCCCCGCTCACCGGGGACAAAGCCTGCTGGGTCGACTGCCACGACGACGTAGGCCTGCAGCAGGAGGTGAGGCAGGGTCTGCAGCAGGGCTTCCAGGAGCCGCAGCACACACACATCCCCGTGCTGCGTCAGCACCTCCCCAGCACAGGCGCTGCAGCCCGCCTTTGCTGTCGTTCGAAAAACATCCCAGTACCTGCAAGAGTCACCGTGACGGGATGTCCACCCTGGTTTTAGCAGGTTTGGGACTGTGCCCGGGTTGGGGGAGGCTGGAAAGACCATGGGGAGCATCTCTCACCGCTTCCAGAGGCCCAGCTGCAGGAGATGGAGCATCAGGAGCCAGCAGCCAGGCGGGCGGCCGTCCACCCTGAACCAGAGGATGCTGAGGAGCTGAGCCACGTAGCCGGGCACCACGCAGGCGATGGTCAGCCCGAACCAGCCCAGCTGCCCGCTGACAAGGTAGTGGACGATGGCACAGAGCCCTGGAGAACGACAGAGAGGCACCGCTGAGGGATGCGGCTGAACGCCACCGCCGTGGACACCCAGCAACGGAAAGGTGCTACACTCATCCCGCCCCAAATTCATCTCCCGGCCACCGAAGGAGTTCAAAGCTCTTGTCCCTGTCTTATCTCCGGCTGCCGGCTCCTGGTGGCTTGTCAGCTGTGGGGCTGACCGAGGGGCCCACCCCAAAGAAGGGCTCTGATAAAAAACCCAAGGGCTCATGCTCCAAATAAATAAATAAACAAACAAACGAATAAATAAATAATGAAATTCTTTTTTTTGCCT